CCGAAACTCCGCAATACTGGCAATACATATACCGCTAAATACCGCATACGTATTGGTATCGACCGAACCGCCCGATTACAACCATGATAATTACTAAGGCCCCTACATTAAGCCGCAAGAGGCCCCCTAAACCCTAAACTCTAAACCTTTTTTTACACAGGCTTGATTGGAGCTCGCCCGGCCAATGTCCAAACTCTAAACCCTAAGCCCTAAACCCCTGCCTGCTAAGATGATCTCCGCCAGGAGGTGCAGAAGCTTCCTCGCTGCCCTGGGAGCCCCTGGCATGAGCTGGCCATTCCTCGACAGGTTAGGGTTTAGGGTTTAGGGTTTAGGAGTTTAGGGTTTAGAGTTTCGGGTTTAGGGGTTAAGGGTTTAGAGGTTTAGGGTTTAGGGTTCAGGGTTTGGGGTTTAGGGGTTAGGATTCAGGGTTTAGGGGTTTAGGGGTTCAGGGTTTAGGGTTTACTTCCCCAATAAGCCAGGGAAATAAAAAGGGTTAAACTTTCAGATTACTACTAAGTTATAAGAACCCAACAAGTTTAAAGGTTGGGTATTGGAAAACTAGGTGTTTGAAGAGAGCCGCGGTTGAGGCGCAGGGCTTCGGGGTTTAATCAGGGCTTAGGATTTGCAGTTTTGTGCGTTTAGGTGACCGAAACCCGAAAACCCAAACCTGAACACCTAAACTTGTGAAATACATCTCTTAAAAATCATTCATGCAGCCAAGTCCGAAGAATCAGTAAAAAAATCTAAACCCAGCCAGTGACAAACGGTGAAACTTTGCATCCGGCAAGCTTAAACACGAAAATTTCCGCAGCACAAAGCACGGAAACAGAAAACTGCCTTTTTGCATTTCTGTTGACCGCAGCATCTGGCAGGAGCACACCCTATGTTCGCTGTTGGTCGCAATGTTCCGCTCGTGTTGCTGTGTTTAATTTGTTTGGCTTTGTCTTGCTGGTTTTTGCTTCTTCCTTTTGCAGGCCGGGGCAGGGGAGTGCGGGTTGGCCAAGAAGGGCAGAGCAGGGGCAGGGGTCAGGGCAGGGGGCAGGGCAGGGCACAGGGCAAGGGTATGAATTAGACACATAGATACATGTGTATAATATATATATATATATATATCCACATATATTTATGCATATCGGATCCTCATTGCGCCTCTTAGGACTGATACAAGCATGTGCTGAAACGATTTCTCGACATTACTAGCAAGTCTCCAAGACGAAGCGCCAAGCCCTAAAATCCCACATCCTAAACACCTACAGTCCAAGGTACCCTGAACTCCTCCAAAAAAGAACAAATAAACCAATACACAAAAAACACACACACACATGTCGAAGCCCTATAAGCTTCAGTGCGACCCGCACATGCAGCTGTAAGCCCCGCGCAGAAGATCCGACTTCGAGCCGTCGGCAGGAACTGGCGGCCCGCAAGCACACTTCGTCGCACCCGTCTCTTCGTCTTCCCAATCTTCGCAGAACACGACCTGCCTCAGACCCGCAAGCGCTCAGTCGAAACATACACGCAGCAGCATCAGGACGTTGAAGCTAGTCACGAAAAAAGAAAAGCTGCCAATCTGGAAAAAGCAAGAACAAGAGTGCAAGCAACGCAGCCATGCAGCTAGTCATGTAGTCGATATGGAAGGCTGTCGGCTGACAGAGACATTGAAATATAGTGAAATGCCAGCTGGTCTGCACACAGACACATAAGCCAACAACGCAACCAACCAGGCACGTAAATTCGTAACTGAATGAAAACAACAAGC